TCCCCCCCCCCCCCCTCCCAGTCCCCCCAGTCCCCCCGTCCGTCCCCCACGCACGCGGGAGCGCAGGGGCTCGGGGAAGCCGCCCGGGGGCTCCCCGATGTGGCCCTGCAGGAACTCCACCACGCTGCGGGGGAAGGAGAGCTCGTCCGCCCGCGCCTCGGCCTCGGCGCGCGACAGCGCGTTCTGCACCAGGAACTGCGCCAGGTCCCCCACCACCTTGGAGGTGGGCGTCACCTGCGGGCACCGGGGTCACCCAGGGGTCACCCAGGGGTCACCCAGGGGTCACCCCACGCTCAACTCATGGCGCAACTTGGGGTCACCTTGTGGTCAACTCAAGGATCAGCTCTTGGGTCAGTGAGGGGAACCACTTGGGTGAAGTCTGAGGGGTCATCTCAGGGGTCATCTTATCTCAGGGGTCATCTCAGGGGTCACCTCATCTCAGGGGTCATCTCATCTCATGGGTCATCTCACAGGTCATCTCGGGGGTCACCTCACCTCATCCCAGGGGTCATCTCAGGGGTCAGTGTGGGGGGAACCTCTTGGGGACACCTCATGGGTGACCTCATGGGTCAGCTCATCTCATCTCAGGGGTCACCTCAGAGGTCACCTCATCTCGGGTTCATCTCAGGGGTCAGCTCAAGGGTCAGTGTGGAGAGAACCTCATGGGTGAACTCTCAGGGTCATCTCATCTCATCTTAGGGGTCATTTCATCTCAGGGGTCACCTCGTCGGTCATCTCATGGGTCAGTGTGGGGGGAACCTCTTGGGGTCATCTCAGGGGTCATTTCATTTTAGTGGTCATCATCTCATGGGTCATCTCATGGGTCAGCTTGGGGGGACCCTCCTGGCTCACCCCGGGGGTCACCACATGACCACCCCGGGTGGGACACCCACCCATGGAGACCACCCACCCCACAGAGATCCTCCACGCCACGGACAGCACCTGCCCCAGGGAGACCTTCTCTTGGAGACCACCCACCCCATGGCCACCACCCACCCATGACCACCACCCACCCCATGGCCACCACCCACCCATGACCACCACCCACCCATGGCCACCACCCACCCCATGGCCATCACCCACCCCATGGCCATCACCCACCCATGGCCACCACCCACCCCATGGCCACACCACCCCACAGCCACCACCCACCCATGGACATCACCCACCCATGGCCACACCACCCCACGGCCACCACCCACCCCATGGCCACACC